TAAGAACACAAGCAAGGACTACTGAGAAGAGACCAAGAGTTTACTGGTAGCTAGCAAAGGTAAGAGGGCGAAGAAGCAGAGCATTGACTGATGAAAAAGCACACTGATGGAAGAGCAGGACTGGACAGCTGATCATTATAACTGCTGTCAGTAAGCTGTACGCCTTTAAAAGTTGATCTGACAAAACTGTGTGATATATTTATAATAAAGTTTAGGTGAAAAAGCACCAAGCAGTAGCTGCTGGGGCTGGGTATGCACAATCAAAGGCCTCAAATGATTTTGGTCCTTCAAAGGCCTCAAATGATTTTGATCCTTCGTTTGGAAGCTCAGTCATGGCTTCATGGGATAGTCGGTTAATTGGGTCTAATAATGTGGCAGGCAAATGGTTTGAATCTACCTCTAAGATTCTGGGAGAAAAAGATGGGTAGTCTTCTCCCATGTGATTTACTGCCTCTATAAACCCAGTGGAGGGTCAGCTATGGGTCAGATGTAACTGAAGGGCACAGAAAAACACCATCAAGTCAGTGCTTCTATTCTACTTCCTCATTCCTGATGCATTGCCTGGGGGTCTTAAAAGGTGGCCGATGGTCACTGACTGCATTACAATTTACCTAAAGCACCAGAGGACATTGGACATGAGGTCAACTGCCTCGAAGAACAACTGCCTCCTTTGCTATGAGGACAGAACTGGATGGTGCCCTGCTACCATTATTAAGCATTTTGAGCAAAGATTCCACAGAAGAGTCCTAACAAAATGAGGGGACAGCAGAGAATTTAAAATTCTTGTTTAAATTCTAGATTCTAGCCTTCTGGAGTCACAAAGGGAAGATGAACTTCGGAACAGTTACCTTCAGATCCTCTTTAAAACTTAGACTGCTAAGAAGCAGGAATTTGAGAGGAGAAAATGAGAACGTGGAGAAGCTCAAAGGCTCTACAAAAAGCAGAAAATGGAAGTATTCCAAATACTTAGCAAAAAACTAAAAAGGGCCAGCCAAATTTCAATTTACAGATGGAGTATCTTCTTCAAAAAAATACAAGAAAAAAAATAAATCAGACATCTGTCCTTAATCTCAGTTAAAATATCTACAAGAAAAAAAATAAATCAGACATCTGTCCTTAATCTCAGTTAAAATATCTACTGTCTATTGGATTCTTTTGTTGTTGTGTGTATATATAATGTACCTCTTGCCAGTTAACCAAATGCATGGACATAGCTGGATTGCTAAACTGTACTAAGTATAAAATACACAAATATTTTATTTTGTTAAAAGAAAACTAACCACCTTATAGGATTTGTATCTTACTTGCTTATGAAGAACTGGAAGAACCTTCTTCAATTTGAGAGACAGACTGAAACATACTTTTTAGGAAGTAGGGAGCAAAGCTTCCATGAAGCATTTTAATAAAATATTTCAATTTAGTAAAAAAACAAAACAACAAAACCAAAACTTAGACTGAAAGTATTCCAAGAAGTCATCCTAAAATCAAATAGTTTAGCTCAATTAAAATAGTAAAAAAAAAATCAGCCTTAAGTGTTATGCTTTTAAGAACTATCTTTATGGATCAACTGACAATAGTTTGAAGGATAAGATAGGAACTTTATGAGACAGGGAGTTGATGTTAATAAGAGAGGAAAATGGGAATGAATGCAAAACTGAAGAATGTAATCCTGTCTGCCTTAGTTATCTAATGCTTCTATAACAAAGATACCACAGCTCGAAGGCTTCAATAACAGAGGTGTATATCTCAGGAGGCTAGAAGCACAAATTTGAGGTTCTAACTTAAGGGGGAAAATGTCAAGTTTGACACAGTGACTGCAGCAATGGGCTCATGTGTATCAGAGATGGCACAGAGGATGGCACAGGTTAAGAACAGGCTTCAGATCTGATCACAGGCTCACTACATCACTAGAGCAGTAAGTGTTAGTGATTATTATTTGGTATTTCCAGACTAAAATAGACTAAAGAAAGATTTTGTGATCTTCAGAAAACCAGACAATGAAAATCCTATGGACCTGCAGACTTTCGAGCTGTGAAACCACCCAGAGGTAGATGGAATTTGCTCCAGGACTTAAGAACAATAAATGACATAGTTGAGCCTCTACATCTTGTGGTTCCTAACCTTTATACTACAATAGACAAAGTGCTAGTCAATAGGCCTTTTATTTTAAGAACTATCTTCCCATAACTTGATTTGTGCCACTATTAGAACCTCTACTTGGAATATTATTGCTTTTTAATCTTTGACTTTTAACTTGTTAGTTAAATTTGTGTCTTCTAGGCTGCAACAGTTCCACGATACATCTTCAAGAATATGAACATGTATGGCTAAACACAATTGATAACAGTGCATCTAAATTCCAAAATCAATCTCCACAATAGTCTATGTGTTTTTCTATTGCTAAAGGGGCCCTTTAGAGTAGTGAGAGAAGATCTTCACCCTGAAACCTACAGCATCCCTTTTCAGCAGGAAGTAGCTAAGAGAATACACCGTCCCCTTTTCCTTATGAATCAGGGTGAAGTCTCTCTCAGGAAGGAGTGATAGGGAATGGCAAAGGACACATTAATCAGAACTGGCTTTGACAAGCACTGTGGCAATTGGACAATTAAAACAGACTTTCAAGGACGGAAAAAAAGAGGAATGAAATGGGGGGAGGGTAGAGAAAATAGTGTAACAATGAATGAATGGAAACCCAAAATCTCTGTAAATGTTCATTAAAATTAATAAAATTTAATTAAAAAG